CAACACGAACATGTTTAAACCTGTGACAGTGTTCTGTTCAGCAGGGAGTACTTATGGATGACGCCTGTTACGAATCCGTACGAGGGTGAGGACTGTGTTTACATGACAAGGCCTGTTTACATGACCATGTGAAAAAATGTGACTGTTGATCTCATGGAATATTTAGAATATACCATGCTGTATGTCGATCACATGGATTATATGGAATATGCTATACGGTGGATACATGATAATTAGCAGGTGGGAAACAGTTTGAAATTGTAAGCTAACATGTATATAAAGGCTTATGTTATGATGTGATGTATCGTGAAAGTAGCATCTGTTGCTACTTAGATTTACAGGCTTATTAAATATTGTGTATAGATGTTGTATATTGTCGTTGTTTATTTCGCCCTATAAGTTTACATTCATATGCGTTGGTCCCATTATACAAACGGACGACTTTTTCATCATGGCGTCGGCCAAAGCTATAAAGGACGCGAGCTATGATCTAGTTTCACGCATGGGCAGGAGGGGGGATTCCCCCTCGTGACGTCAGCCTAATGGGTAGCCTCTCGCATTCAGGGAGGCTACCAAATCTCTATGGAAGATTACATGCAGTTGGGTGTCCTCATACCCTTAGTTTGCCTACTACTATTATGTTTTAATGGAGACTCTCTAAAATGACATGTCAATCATTGTCAAATATATGTGGCCACTGATCTCTTTTTAAGGAAGTGAAAAATAAAACCGAGGCACATTTTCCATGATGAATTAGTATCACTCAGACCCAGAGAGAGGATGAGGTGAGAGAGGCGTTCAGCCATATAACTGAGAGTTAACAGAGACCTCGTCCGAATCCCGTTATGATTTGGGTATTACGTTGGTGCGGTGCTTCATTCTCACTTCGATAGCTATTTAGCATGACTTAGATGTGGACTATAATGGTCGTCATTGATACTCAGCTGGTCACAACTGGTTGGTTCCGTTTTCTTTCACACTGGCACAGTCATGCTTGTCATTCCCGATTGTGTGTCTGTATTGTAAGCCAAGTCTTCAATAAAGTTAAATGTATAGTGTCGTAAAAATGAATGTCTCGGTTTGGGGTATTACTGAAATGAAGTGAAGGGAATACGTTTGGCGAGTCTTATTTGTTTTGTTTACTTGTTTACTTGTTTATTAGTCTTAAAACACATACGTAACACCTTGGACTCACAAAACCAAAGCTATTGTACAAAGGGGTTGTAATGACAAGTCAATTTCATTTATTTCTTTTACATGTTACCTTTATTTCATGAATAATTAACGGACAATAGAATTTCCAGCTAAATATGTGTGAGAAAAGGTTTATATGTACATCAAACATCAAACACGTCTAAGTGGTGTGTCAGAAATGTTTGCAAAGTGTTCAACGATGTTTTGGCCTCAGATAGCTTGAAGCATTGGAATCAGTCGTAGAGACGTTCAACCACTGAGCAGACTGCTTCGGGATGTCAGATACGGTTGATCGTCCAATCTTCACATCAAACTTCTGCTCAGCAAAAGTGATAACTTCTTGCTGTGTTGTCTGGGGTTTGTCTTTCTTCAAAAGGAGATTTCATTCTTGATCAATGGCGTAACTTCTACAAGGGGTCGCTTAGCAGGTGGTGTCCTCGTGACAAACATCTTGTGATGAAAACTCATGTCGGTTGTAAACATTTTATACAGCTCGCTCTGTTATTTCTTTATTAAATCGTCGCAATTAATTATCCTGTGTTCCTAATTAACAAGTGTGATGTTCACTGACGCCAGTGTCAAGCAGCCAGTAAGACACACGCTAATTACCACTCACGTGTGATTGTTTGTATACGGTCGGATCATCCGACCGGCTGTGTTGATTGTCGGATTAACAAATGTTTTTACAATGTATTTACAATAATCAGCTGCTAGATTGGTGTGTCGGAGTCTGAATGCGAGAATGTCGGATTAACGAGAGTAATTATCACTGTTTTAAATGGTTCTCTAATTTTTTTGTCGGATTAACGTGAATGTCGGATTAATGAGTGTCGGATTAACGAGAGCTGACTGTATATATGTATATATAGAGCTTGTCCTGTCACAAATTGGAAAATAAAAAACCCGTTTTCGTTCTTAATAGGAGGTAAGATATATCAAGTAAGACAATCGCCATAATAAATGCACGCACACTTCTCCTTTTCTAACATAAAATATTAAAGAGCAGCATTTTCAGGAAGCTCAAAAATCCACATTTGTGGCTTACGACCAAGCATATCTAAATTCTAAAAATTAATTAATTTATTTATTATTAGTCTACTTCATAATATAACACAAATTTAAAGAATATTGTAGTAAACATATGTCTATTTCATATAGGTAAATGTCATTCTATAAATGTTTACTGATAATAAAATATGTATGATATTTTTTACGATGATTTATTCCCAGATCAGCACTGTTCCCCTACTTTTAGTTTCTTTTAATATCATTTCCATACTCCAATACTTGATGCATTTCATTTGTTAGTTTCAACATATTTAATTCTTGAAAGAAAACCATTAGGCACAAGCCTTTTCCCAACAGCTATATACATATATGTGCAGTATACACAAACAGACTGTGAGAAACAGAAAACGTACACAGAGTAAAGAATAACGGGGTATTTTACAATCAGAGAAATCGTTTAGTTCTGCTTATCTGAATTTGGACACGTTTGAAAATATTCTGATTCTCACTGATGGAGACACTTGCATTCATTGCCATGTAAAATAGGAGTTAGGTCTAATGGCACTCTGCTGTGTATAATGTCATTTAAACCAGTAAATTTAGCATCTCTCTGACAAATGTCAAATGGACATTCAGAAAATGGAGAACCACCACTGACATGCTGGATCAGTTTTAATATTTATTCTGTATAAAACATAGTTTAGCGTGCTGGTCATATATCTTATTCTGGTATGGATGCCATTTTATTTTCTAATACCATACGCAAAGTAAAGAGGCGCAGTGTTTTGAATCAGTCGTATTTCAGCTTCAAATGCTGAAACAGACCCACCGTTCCTGACCTCAGATGGTGTATTGTTCCACAATTTAATTATTCAAGGAAAAAATGATTCTATAGAATGCCTTAATCATTTGTACATAAGATTTGCCTTTAACAAGGGTCAAGTGCCATAGCTTCGTTTCGGGAGTGACATCAATCTCCTCATTTCTTGCATCCTTAACCCAGCACCGAATCCACCACACGCAGGAACAGTATTTCCACAATTTAACCATACCAACCAATAAACGTGTCATCTGAGGCCCACATGACCAACGTTTGAAATGGACGTATCACTGGCCTCCTAATTTGAATTTAATACTAATTTGCAATCAGTAAAAAGTATGAAATGAAAGAATATTTGTGAGAAAATGTGTGTAAATATAGAGATCGTTTTCATGCATGTATATTTTATACTGAAATAATTGTAAATTATTTTAATTAAAACGCTTGAAATCGTGTACATGTACGTCCAGGTTGAGATTTAGCCTATATTTCATGTTAAAATAACGATGATTCTTTTAAATGACTGTGAAATATCCACTGAAGGTACTGTGATACTGAAACAGCGATTATTGAACACCCGAAGGAAACTAATATGTGTACGTCATGCATTTCAAGAACCTATATTCCGAAAATAAAAGTCAAATCATTACAATGACAAACTGAATGCTTGCTTACTGTGTGTTGCGAAATACAATGATCCTGGTCAACGAGTTTGACCACTCGATCCCCATGTTGTTCAGTTGTAGTATGACCCACACATGTGTCATACAGCGTTTGATGTTGTCACCACGAATGCAGCGACAGATTGCATCTGTGTAGTGTTAATTCTTACTTTGAGTCTGCTTTTACTTGTATTGAAATGTAGATGAAGGCATTCATGCATACAGTATTCATCGTATTTAGCACCCACTTCCAATAGGCTCCTCCTGACCATCATCTTGGCCAATTTGTAAGTTGTGTTATGGTGTAAACCTTTCTACTAAGACCTTTACACGACAAGCTATACTTCATCACCTTATATATAGATGTATCTCAAAGATGAATTTGTATGTATGACATTTAGTTTAGGAGTCCAACAATTATCCACATTTCATAAAAAAAACACTGTTAACAGCAGCAAATTATACAGCTGGTCTCTCTAATGCTGATTTAATACGTAAATGGCACATTTGGGCATTGCAGACGATTTCTGGGCGATTAGATACATTTGATAAGATAAAACATGCAAGAAACAGACTAACACCTCATTCAATGAACCCAACCAATTACCCACCCCGCATAGTGGAGTATGTTGTCAGCTGGAACCCTCATCCACTGCAACCCGGCCTGTCAAACAGTAATCTATACAGATTTCTCTGACATGAGAATGTCGTCTAAATAAGTAAGACTATATGCTTCAGATTGCCTATTGAGAAAGAAACAATATAAATGACATAGATTATTCAAGAAACCAAATGAGTAGTAAGTATAGGGCTGGCATATGTGAATTGACGATGGTCCTAATTAGGACATTGTTGCTGATGTCGACGGACATATGGTTATTCAATACTGTATTGAACCCACGCGTTTAGTCGTGTCGAAAACATGACAAAGTTGTTTCTCTCGATCGCCACCTTGGAACAATCGATAGCCACCCTCCTACACCCCCTCGTCTCCCAAATGAGGGCATAATCTGCGATACACACTTTAAAATGAATTTCCTGAACTAAGTCACATCTTGGGTACATTCTACCCGTTTCTTCCCACGTAAACTTACCATCAGTGCTAGCTGTTGATGCCAATCGATATCAAGCATTGCGCTACATACCAGTCCTTCCTTCCCCTCTGTGTGTGAGTATATTGACAAATTCCATATACAACCTTCACGCGCGTATTGGAATTGTGAGAATCTAACCAAGGACATTGTTATGTATTTCTGATCGTTTTAAATGGCTACATACAAGTATTTGTGAAGACCTATATCCATCTGTGTTTCAAGGGCCGCTGCGATCCGCTTCTTGGAGTGTCGTGAAGTCCTTCGCTGCGAACATCGCCCTTCGGGGAAACTTCCTCTCGGGCCGTCTAAGAAACTTTCAACAAACTATGGCGTCGAATATGAACGGCAATGTAGAAGGTGCAATTTCGTCCAAAACAACAAATGGGAATGGAGAAGATCCGGAATGGGATTTGACGGTAAGTTGTAACCGGTCACAACCAACTGTTAACATAGCCACACACATCGAGTCGGATTGCCAACGCAAGATTTCATTAAACACATGTACCGATTAATTGCCTTATATAGATTTACACACAAATAATTATCACGTTCGTTTCTGGTCTTGTAATCGAAACAACTTCTTGTAAGGGAAATTGAATTGGGTTTTATTGCATGGTAATACATTATACGACCACTGTAGTGTATTCGACTAGAAATAGTCTTAATGCCCGACTACATGGGGGACCATGTAGCTACGATATATCAACGGAATTATTATTGTGTGTCAGCGTAACCCGAAGGCGTGGATTGTTTGTTCATATTATCAATCATCGGTTCTTCCTGTACATCCTGCCGCTGTAGTATAGCTGCAATGTTACGGATGACGTCGTGAAAACGTTCACTCACTCATGTGTGAACCAATCTGGACATTCTGAAGAATATATCATTAGAATCTATTCAGCAAGAAGTGCCATACCGGCCATAACAGATTTTACTGAAGGAGTAGTCTATGAGCATATTATTTATATTTATACACATGAGACTCAAAAGAAATGAATATATTTCGTAATGTACTAGTAAGTTCTCGCTACCTATAAGCGTTGGCATTTAAACTTCACATAACAACAGCATTTGTTGTGACAACGCCATTGATTTAAATGGAATGACATGTACTTGTGCAAGTATTCGGGTAAGGACAAATTGACAAGGTTATGTACATATCAGTGTAAAGAGAGGCCTTTGTCTGGGGTGGGGGTGGGGGTGGAATCGCTTGTCCCTCGTGTCTCAGTAACGGATTTTATGGCTGTATGATTCTACTTGGGAATTAATGTAATACAGCCGCTACGTGACAACAGTTAGCAATGTGATATTTACAACTTTATATGAACTATGACACACAAAGGTCATTACTTTCTGCTCTCCTGATCTCATTTGACAATGTTTTCAGCAATGTATAGCGATTACCATTGGTTTTGGTCACGTCATCCTGGACCCTATGACCCGATACACAGTGACTACTAATTTCTTTATTGATGCAATGATGAACTGTCCTACAAAGTGCACACATGCTATTCAATTGTAATTATTGTCACGTTGTTAATACTTAAACACATTCATTGTAGGGTGCTGCTGAGGATGTGCGAGTGTGGTGGTAGTGGTTAGGGTGTGTGTGTGTGTGTGTGGTGGGGCGGGGGATTTGGGGCTTTATATCGACATGGGTAAGATCAACTGTGTGCCTGCTTGTGTTGCCTCTGTCATTCTACACACGCCCATACAGCAATGTACAACTGTGGCACTGTCGTTCCAGTAAGCCTTACCTTGCTGATATGGAGCGGGTGTTGAACACAGGAAACCCTCTTGCTGTCTTTCTTTTATTTGAGAATCGACCTACAATTAATTAGATGTATGCATTGTTCTGCCCTGTAAACGTTGCAAAGCGGATCAGCCCAGACACAATGAGAGTCAAGTTAGATCTATATGTAATAAGTCCGTGTCTCGTGCATCTTGGCAATATTTCGTTCTGCATTTGCGACTTGACTCACTATACACAAAGAAGAAATATAATATAAAACCTCAGTGCAAAACAATACCCAGTCTGGACCGTCCTCAGTCCTCGATTCCTTTTAGTGTAAAGGGAAAATTATATGAATTAATCACTGAAGTTCAGTGACGAAACCCGGTGTTTGCGACAAGGGTGAGCATGACCTGCCCTGTAGCACCTTCACAAGATATAGGAATGATTGTGTAGTCTGGTTACAAATATTTCATTATCGGACAATATCGGCTTAACGCCGCACTCAGCAGTATTCCATCATTTTGACGGCGGCCAGTAAATAATGGACTCTAAACACGAGGACATACAATCAACCAAGTCACAGCGCCTGACCCTCACCTGGGCATCTGTTACAACCACCACAGAACTGGTTGCCCGGGACCAACCTGACCCTGACCTGGGCGACTGTTGCAACCGCCACAGAACTGGTTGCCCGGGACCAACCTGACCCTGACCTGGGCGACTGTTGCAACCACCACAGAACTGGTTGCCCGGGACCAACCTGACCCTGACCTGGGCGACTGTTACAACCACCACAGAACTGGTTGCCCGGGACCAACCTGACCCTGACCTGGGCGACTGTTACAACCACCACAGAACTGGTTGCCCGGGACCAACCTGACCCTCACCTGGGCGACTGTTACAACCACCACAGAACTGGTTGTCCGGGGCCAGCCTTGGCCCTCACCAGGGTCATATTTATGCCAGATACGTAATTTCTGAATCAGCAGTATTTCAGCTGTATGACCGAGATATGTTGGTTGTTGTTGTTGTTTAATGCCGCACTCAGCAGTATTCCAGCTGTATGACCGAGATATGTTGGCTGTTGTTGTTTAACACCGCACTCAGCAGTATTCCAGCTGTATGACCGAGATATGTTGGCTGTTGTTGTTGTTTAACACCGCACTCAGCAGTATTCCAGCTGTATGACCGAGATATGTTGGCTGTTGTTGTTTAACACCGCACTCAGCAGTATTCCAGCTGTATGACCGAGATATGTTGGTTGTTGTTGTTGTTTAATGCCGCACTCAGCAGTATTCCAGCTGTATGACCGAGATATGTTGGTTGTTGTTGTTTAACACCGCACTCAGCAGTATTCCAGCTGTATGACCGAGATATGTTGGTTGTTGTTGTTGTTTAATGCCGCACTCAGCAGTATTCCAGCTGTATGACCGAGATATGTTGGCTGTTGTTGTTTAACACCGCACTCAGCAGTATTCCAGCTGTATGACCGAGATATGTTGGTTGTTGTTGTTGTTTAATGCCGCACTCAGCAGTATTCCAGCTGTATGACCGAGATATGTTGGTTGTTGTTGTTGTTTAACACCGCACTCAGCAGTATTCCAGCTGTATGACCGAGATATGTTGGCTGTTGTTGTTGTTTAATGCCGCACTCAGCAGTATTCCAGCTGTATGACCGAGATATGTTGGTTGTTGTTGTTGTTTAATGCCGCACTCAGCAGTATTCCAGCTGTATGACCGAGATATGTTGGCTGTTGTTGTTGTTTAACACCGCACTCAGCAGTATTCCAGCTGTATGACCGAGATATGTTGGTTGTTGTTGTTGTTTAACACCGCACTCAGCAGTATTCCAGCTGTATGACCGAGATATGTTGGTTGTTGTTGTTGTTTAACACCGCACTCAGCAGTATTCCAGCTGTATGACCGAGATATGTTGGCTGTTGTTGTTGTTTAATGCCGCACTCAGCAGTATTCCAGCTGTATGACCGAGATATGTTGGTTGTTGTTGTTTAACGCCGCACTCAGCAGTATTCCAGCTGTATGACCGAGATATGTTGGCTGTTGTTGTTGTTTAACGCCGCACTCAGCAGTATTCCAGCTGTATGACCGAGATATGTAATAAGCATATAACAATAGTTGAGTGATTGCACGGCAGGCTGATTGTCAGACTTCATGTCTCACGGGCATCGACCTGATATTCTTACTGCTCTGGTGACATCAATAATGTAAACCTATATAGGTATACTTGAAAACAAATTGAAGCAGTAAGAACACTTTCATTGATTTCAAATTTTGTCCTTAACTATGCCGGTTTAAAGAGTCGCAATAAATAAGTCAAATTTTGTATTGGAATCATGATCATTGATAGTTATTATTCTTGCTATATCAACATTATAGAAACTTTACATCGTCACTTTTGTATACCGTGTAAGTATGTAAGTATTCTTTTCCATGACTGCATGGTACTAAAATATTATTTTACAATTGTAATGACAAGTGCGGGTCAATAAGCAGCAGTATTACATTGAACACAAGCAAAATATAGTTTGATTCATTATAATACTTACGATACTGATTATTAAAGGTCACATGCAACGTAAAACACAACTTTGCAGATTCTGATACCTTTCGGTATGAACTTACCGAAACAAAGCGTCAAAAATGCAAATTCAACTTATAAAGTTGAAAAATAACGCGATGAAAAAAAACGCGCGAAATCGGAGTTCAAACGTTTCACTAATTTTCCCCAGACTTTTCTGGGGAATACGGGTTTCAACAGGCTGGACTGCTCTCACAGCACGTGCGCAGTGAAATAGGTTCGCGCAACTTGGAAGCGGGCTGTCTGGTGAATACTCGGTGAAGGCTCTGGTGTGAGCTATTTTCCTAATGTTTTGTTGATATCTCACAGGCGCGAGCTTTTTATATGTTATGACAGTAAATTAACTGTTTATATAATTTCATTTGTCTATTTCACCACACTTTCTTCTTACCTAGTCACTTTCTCAGTTCGATACTTAAAAGCAATGTCATTATTTAGCGTTGACACAATTTCTAACTGTGATATAGATATGTCGCTGTCACAGACAAAACTCAATGTCTTGTTTTATTGACACCTGTGTGTCTGCCTGCCTGTCTGCTAATGACAATATTCAATACACAACTGCGATCACTCACCACATGCAATTTGAACTTAACACCAATCAGGCTATACACCATAAACAAAACACATTGATTTATGGCCCGAGTTCGGTGTCACATTATGTAATTACACAGACAGGCAGGTGTGATACTTGAACACATGACATGTTATGATGTCTGTTGATTGCAAAATGTTATACACATAAAATGAGCATGTATTTACAAAACCCAACATCTATATATATACACACACACAATGAGCCGGGATAGGCGGCATCTGCTAATGAACCAGCCGTTACACTTGAGTGCACACCCACCCGCTCTGAGTGGGCTCGGTATCCCGGCTGCTTCGTTTCGAGGGAGGTAAACCCAAGTACAAAATATTGCACTTTTGATTTGCGATTATACGCTTATAATTTTGTTTATTTGTTTTTTCATAATCAGCAATGCATATTATATGTCATGAAGAAGTGATAATTGTGTTTTAATTATGTTTGATTTTTTGGTTGCATGTGACCTTTAATTGTATCGCGTTGCCATAGC